TAACCGGTTGAGAACTGTCTTATTGAGATATGCTCCTAAAAGATGCTCCTAGTTGAAGTTGGCGTGAGGGAGCGCGACCGGAGGGGCTGGAAGTTTGGATCGCCTCCACTGCTAGTGCACCCCGGCGCTCCAGCATCTATGCTGGAGGGGGACTCGACCATTACCTCGTCCGGCAGAGGAGGCGCCCCGGGGTCTCCGGGCTTCGGGAGGCTGGATGAAGTCGTGGAAGGCGTGGCGATGCTGGCGCAAGCCACGGAGGAGTCTCCAGCTTTTTGCGAAGACAGCAGATCGAGTGAGGTGCCCACATCTGAGTTGGAAGGGCTTTTCTCACTGTCCGGGTGAAAGAGCAAGGTGGAGTTGTTTGAAAATGTTGACGGGAGGTCGCTGGTTGAGGTTGGAGTGCTGAAAGTGGAGTCAGATGAGGAACTGGAAGCTCCTGCTGCTGAGTAATAGAAGAGGGGGGAAAATAGGGGAACAGTTGTAAGGCATAAAGAACAAACGCATTAAGCACTTTTTTGCATTACACACACACACACACACACAACTATTTTAGAAATTGACGTATTAACCTCTGAGGGACTCGATCTTCTCATTTTTGGCCTTCTGCACCTCGTCTGTGATTTTAGTGATGATAAAATTTTGCGAGCGCATCTCCCGGATCGACTCGATCAAGGCATCCAGGCCGCGGGGGTTCTCAGCCAGTATGTCCAGCAGCACGGCCGTCCTCTTGGTCTGCGTAGTCCTGCAGCTGATCTCTTCTGCGTCATCTCGTGTCAGGATCCTGCGAGAGCGCAGATAGTCCAGGTGGCGATCTGCTCTGATTTTATCGCAGAGGTAGTGCCGCAATCTGGTCAGCACCTGGAGAGCCACAGGAAGTCACAGAGGGCAGATGAAAAGAGGGCAAAGTGAGGTGTCAACGAACAAGAAACACACAGTCCAGGGTTCACCCCCCCTTCCCCCAAATCAAAGACTACAGCAGGCCTGGATCTGCTCTCTCTGTGGCACATACAAAGTAAGCTGGGTGTCCAGATGTGCCCTAAACGTCCATCTTATTGTCCTGCTGTTAAATCCTACAGAAAGTGGAAATGGTGAGGGCACAAAGAGGGTGTGGTGGGGGCATTTCCTCCTTTTAATAGGCCTATAGCGCTAAGCAAAGCATAAATATATATTTAGCAGTAAATCTGTTTCCACATGGCTCCCCTTATCAGATTGATCTGGCATCTGTTAGGAAGCCAGAGCGTGCCTGAAGTATAATACTCACGTCTTTCTTTATCTCTGCCATTTCATCTTCAGTGAGGTGAGGAGCATCCATCCCTCTCCCCCGCAAAGTGAAAATCCAGGTGGTAACGACTGAAGATTATTTTAATAATCTCGTCGT